GCTGGGATTACAGGCACGCACCACCATGCCCAGCTAATTTTTTTGTAGTTTTAGTAGAGACGGGGTTTCACCATGTTGACCAGGATGGTCTCGATCTCTTGACCTCATGATCCACCCACCTCGGCCTCCCAAAGTGCTGGGATTACAGGCGTGAGCCACCGCGCCCGGCCTGCATGTTACATTTCTAACTCATATTTGTGGCATGAACGGGAAAGAGGTGCTGGAGTTTTCTTGCATGATTTAATTTTCATATCTCAAGAACCATGGGCCAGGGTGCCAAAATAATCCTCATTTCACTGTATGGAAATTGAGTGCTAGACAGGGAGGTGGTTTGCTCGTGTCTAGTGTCTGCGGTACAGAGCCTGCCCGATGGGTGAGGGACCCAATGAGTCTGTGTGGTGCTCTACAATTAACAAAGCATCTTACACACACGGTTTCATTGAATGCCCACAGTGGGTTGGAAGGTATGGCTCTATTTTTCACATGTGCCCATTTCCCAGGGTCGGAAAACCTTCTGAGGGCTACAGCTGAGCCCAGGGGATCAGCCAAGAGAGGACACGTGGCCAGCCAAACCCACCCATTTTGCAGAGGGAACCTTAAGGTCTGGGGCCCTGGGAAACTTGCCCAGAGTGCCTCAGAGAGCTGAGGGTCCCCTGTGTGGTGTGAGGAGGAGACACCAGGCCCACATGAGACTGTACCCCACCCTCTTCCCCTGTCCCCAGGCCAGAACATTTCTCAGCAGGAACAAGGTTAGCTATGGGTGTAGATGAGCAGGAGCACTTTGGGAGGCTGAGACAGTAGACCACCTGAGGTCAGGAGTTCTAGACCAGCCTGGCCAACAGGGTGAAATCCCTTCTCTACTAAATATACAAAAATTAGCTGAGCGTGGTGGAGGGCACCTGTAATCCCAGTTACTAGGGAGGCTGAGGTGGGAGAATCACTTGAACCCAGGAGGCAGAGGTTGCAGTGAGCCAAGGTTGTGCCTTTGTGCCTCAGCATGGGCAACAAGAGAGAAACTTTGTTTCAAAAGAAAAGCCTCATAGAGCAAAACGTGCACTGCCCGAAGGTGGCAGGAAACCCATGTTGATGTTGGTTCCAGCAAAAGGTTCATGGGGAAGAGAAGGGCTTGCAAGGAAGGTCTGGCCAGACCCAGCCATGGCCAGGATAGTGGGAGGCGGGGACACTGCCCTGCTTCTTTCTCTGTGCTTTCCTGGTGTTCTAGAGTGGGTTAGAAACCTTTAGAACCAGAAAAATGAAGTTGTATTCTAACAGTGAGAGGGACGAAAAGGAGCCCTGGAGACAGCCGGCTCCTGCTTTGTCTGATTCTGGGGCCACCGCTTGTGAGCAATGACCAGCTGTGGGGTTTCACGGTGGGGCTTGCCTAGCACCAGGCACATCCCCCAGAGCAGGCAAACCTGCGGCAGGAGGCCTGTGTTGCTCTTATTCCTGGAAATTGGGTCATGGGAGCCCAGGCCTGGGGCTCCTGGAATGCAATGCTCTGAGAATTTTGTCTAAACACCTCTGACCTCCTTCCTCCGGGGCCAGTCCAGATCTTTCTTCCCCCGCGTCCCCCATGCTCCAGCCTCTTGGGCAATTGCCATATTCCACATGTGGCCCTCACCTTCCTACCTCCTGGCTTTTGCTGGTACCGGCACTCTGCACCCCTGGAGAGCCTGCCCCCTCCAGCCCAGCTGCTGCCAGAGACCCCCTCCTTAGGAAGCCCTCCTGCCCCTCCTAGACAGAGGTGGCCCCGAGGGCAGGAGCCAGGGCTGCTAGTTTCACCTCCATGCCAGGGCCCAGTAGGCATGGTCTTCCCTGTGGCCGATGTCATTACTGACCCTGCCTCAAAGTGCATGTCTCACTATCCTCCTACACATGGGTCAAGTTGTGCCTTGTGACAGTGTTGTCATCTCGTCTGAGCCTCCATCCTGGGTGGGGTGAGTTTCTGTTCCCTCCAAGCTCTTGACTCTTTACCCAGTACACTCTGTACCCAGTACAGAGCACTCATCCGTCCATCCATTCTTTCAGCAGTTTCTCCCTAAGTGCCTATTGTGCACCGGTGAGTAAACCAGGTGTCAGGGCACAGCTCTGCTGACATCAGGGCATGACCGTGTGCAGTTTGCATGCATGTGTTTTGTGCATGCCACATGTATATGCACACAGTATGAACACCTCCATCACATATGAACTAGTGTCTCTTAGGCTGTGCAGTCTTACAGGTACCTTGGCCATTCCTGGTTAATTCATTCAGCAAGCCCTGACAGAGTGCCCACCAAGCAGGTGCCAGGCCCTGACCTAAAGTCTTTGCCTTTGGGAAGCACCTGTCTTGTGGGGCCATTGCAGTGAGAGCTGGTGCAGAGGGCGAAGGGTAGGCGTTGGGGCAGAGCCCTGGAGAAACGGGAGTGGGGTGGGGAAGAGCATTTCTGCCTGGCTGGGGTGTGTTTGGGAAACCCTCTGCGGCCCTGGGGGCATCCCAGGCCTGGGAAAGCTGGGCCCGGCCTTCTCGATTTGGGAGTGCAGGAAGCCCCATCTCTTTGGTTCCGCTGCTCCCAAGCCCCGAAGGGTAATGAGGCTAAGAAGGTAGGAGTGGGCAGGAGCCCTGCTGCTGGGCACCAGGAAGGGAATACAAAATATAGTGTCCCAAAGAGGAGATGTGTGGACATGGGACCCCTGATGCGGAGCTTTCTTTTTCTTTTTTCTTTTCTTTTTCCTTTTCTTTTTTCTTTTTTTTTTTTTTTTTTGAGGTGGAGTCTTGCTCCGTTGCCCTGGCTGGAGTGCAATGGTGATCTCGGCTCACTGCATCCTCCGCCTCCCAGGTTCAAGTGATTCTCCTGCCTTAGCCTCCCAAGTAGCTGGGATTACAGTCTCCTGCCACCATGCCCAGATAATTTTTGTATTTTTTTTAGTAGAGATGGGGTTTTGTCATGTTGGCCAGGCTGGTCTTGAACTCCTGACCTCAGGTGATCTGCCTGCCTCAGCCTCCAGAAGTGCTGCACCCGGCTTGACGCAGCGCTTTCTAGGAGAGGAGAGCTCAGAGACCGGCAGGTAGAACACAGCACCTACAGGCCACGGCACCTAGGAGTAGAATCTCCGGGCTGGGTGTGGTGGTTCACACCTGTAATCCCAGCACTTTGGGAGGCCGAGGTGGGTGGATCACTTGGGGTCAGGAGTTTGAGACCAGCCTGGGCAACATGGCAAAACCCTATCTCTACTAAAAATACAAAAATTAGCTGGGCATGATGTCAGGCACCTGTAATCCCAGCTACTCAGGAGGCTGAGGCAGGAGAGCTGCGTGAACCCAGGAGGTGGAGGTTACAGTGAGCTGAGATCATGCCACTGCACTCCGGCCTGGGCAACAGAGCAAGACTCAGTCTCGAAAAAAAAAAAAAAAAAAAGGAAAAAGAAAAAGAAAGAAAAGAAGTAGAACCTCCAGATGCAGACAGAAAACCTGGAATCTGGAACTTCGAACAGGAAACCTGAAGCAGCAAACTTAGAATGTGGGGCTTCCAGAACATGGAACTCGGAGGCCGCCACCCTCAGTGGTCAGTGGGGAAACTGAGGTGTAGGAGGTGGGGAGTTCGTGAGCCTTGATGAGCAGCGGTGGGCACACAGGTGGCCCTGCTGAGCCGGGCAGGGGTGAGGACCCTCCCCACAGCCTGCTGGGTGCCTGACCTTGGGCATGTCCCCTCTCCAAGCCTCAGTTTCCTCACCTGTGAAGTGGGTTGTGAGGATGAGATGAGACAGTGCGCATCATTTGGGAGCTCAGGATCACCAGGAAGTCAGTGGCCTTGCTGAGACCCAGCTCCTGGCCATGCAACTTCTAGAGCTGCCTTCTCACCTTGTGATGGGGGTGGTTTTGTTGCTGTTTCCAGTCTCTCTCTTTTCCCAAAGTCGAGGTGCCTTTGAGCGCTTGCGTGCCTGTTTCTGGCACCACCAGGTGGGAAAGTTAGGTAGTGGATGGGTAGGAAGAGATGGGCGATGGTCTCACAGTGCTGGGCAGGGGGCCCAACGCCTACAGCCCTGAGTGGTATCCCCTGACCATAGGTGGGGCCTGCAAAGTGTCCCTGCTGGAGACGATCAGGTCCTAACACAAGAGCCACAGAGGAGTACGGCCTTTCCCTGCTGCAGGGTGGCTGCCACCTCGCGCTCACCACTGCCTGTAAATATCCTCCTAACACTAAGATGGCACCCCATTGCCTTGGGACCTTCATTGTCGCCCTCAGGATTCAGAAAGGACGAGAACAGGTTGAATGAGGGGACGCATTCAGTGGGTCATGTTTATTGAATGCAGATGCTGTGGGGAGGAAGATGTGGCTGCCACTGTAGGAGCATCAGTGCTGTCACCCACCACCCCCCGAGAAATAATCCAAACCGCGAAGCAGAGATAGCCCCGCAGGTGGCTTAGTGTCTAGACACTGACCTGGCTCGGGGCTGGCATGGACCAGGGCAGAATGCCCCGGGCAGGCAGAATTGGACAGAGAGTAACTGGGAGAGGAGAAGAGACAGGGTGTGTCCCAGCCGAGGGCAGGCTCCCTGGGCGCGCAGAGCCCAGCCAGCTATGTGCTTGCTCTGTCGGGACCACCCCAGCAGGAAGCTAATCGTGAGGCTCAGGTCCCCAGATCCCAGGGGCAGTGCTGCCACCATGCCGCCCAGGAGCTGCAGGCTGTAGGCAGGTGTGGCCTTGTCACCTCCCTTGGTCCCCACAGTGCCAGAGCCATGTTCAAGCTCACTCCTTCGCCCAGCAGTGCACCTGCAGTGCCAGGCATGAGGCGGTGCACACACGGCCGCAAGGTAAGGTTCAGGCGCTGGCGGGGAGGATCCTAACTGCTGAGCCACTCTTCCTTTCCCACTGTCTCCCCATAACTCCTCCCAGCTGTGAAGGTGGGGCTCATTCCTGCACCTCCCCTCCGCCACCACACCCCATTGGTAGGGGCCCTTAGGATTCACGTAACTAAGCCGCCTCACTGGGGTGTGACAAGCCCAAGATGGCAAAGCAGGCAGTACTAGAACTGTGTGGGCACTTTCGTGAGCCCCAGACCAGGCCTGAGAGCCCTGAAGCATTGACTGGATGGTGTGGGTGTGTGGATTTGGGGTGGTCATTTATTCATTCAACAAACTGAGGGTGAGCACCTCTTTTGTGTGGGCCTCAGGGCTTGAGGCTGAGGACTCAGGGGCGTTGGACACCACAGCCCTTGTGTGGGGTGAGGGGTTCTCGGGGGCAGGCCAGGGTCAGGGAGACCTGAAGGAGTGCAGCTCAGCCGAACCCTCCAGGGACAGGAACGGGGATTGGAGGGCGAGATTACACAGAAACTTCTGTGCCTCCTTGGGAGACTTGGACTTTCTCCTGAGGGCAGCCGTTCCAAGCTGGGAGGGGCAGCGTCAGATGTGGCTTTTGTTTGACTCATGGGGGCTGGGTCCGGGGCCTACTGAGGAATCGGCTGCCATTCTGGTGAGCAGTGGTCTCGGGGATGGAAGATTCGGGAAGTGTGGGCAGTGGGATGGGCAAGGCTCGGCGATGGGTGGGGAGGGGCCCAGAAGGGGTGCGTTGGGAATCCTGAAGTTGTCAGCGTCAGTCCCTTGGTGTCAGGCTTGAGTTACAAGTTACCAGTTCAGGTTGTTGGGACGGCCATTTGAGAGTTGCACCTTGTTTACCACAGAGGGTCTCAGGACAGAAAGCCAGGCCTGGTGTGGCCCAAAGCCCATGCCCACTGCCCTCCTTGCTGCCCAGCCTGGATTGCCCCCGCCGGGTCTGCACCTTGCTGTCCCTCACTCCACCTGGCACCCAGCCGCCTGAGCATGCAGGCGTGCCCACCACCTGCTGCCTTGTACACACGGGTGGGTGCCGGGGGAGCACCACCCACTCCCACTGCCTGCGACTCTTGGACTGGACCTCCACCTGCCACCCGGTGCATGGGGGCCTCTGCCAGCCAACAACCCCTCCTCTGCCACCCAGGGTACAACACCTGAGACAAAGTCCCCAATGCTAGAAAAGGCCCCAGAGGATGAGGAAAGGTGGGGCGTGCCCTCCCCTCCATTCCCCCTGCTCGGCCCGCCAGGCTGGAGATGGAGCTGAGGCTCTGCACTGAAGTGGGCCTTTGTATGTTGTCCCCAGAGGATGGCAAGCCTGGGTGGGAGGGGCTGGCACTGCCGGGGCTGCCGGGCAGGGTGGCGCTGATCTCAGCAGGGCAGGGGCTTTCTCTGAGGCCACTGGGCAGGGAGCGCACATGTCGGGCGTGGGAACTCTCAGGCTGGGCCTGCACCCCCAAACCAGAGGATACTTGTCCCTCTGAGTCTTTCGCCGTGTCTCATCCGGGCTCCTGCGTCTTTGGACTGTTCCATCGTCATCCAGCAGCTGTCTGTGCAGTGCCTGCTCCGGGGCAGGCCTTGTCCTGCGGGGTGGAGAATAGTGGTGACCAAGGCCTGTGGTGACCCTGCTCTCCTGTGGCCGAGCCAACGGGGTGAGGGCAGGGGAGACATAAACAACGAAGGGGGATCGCCTCCGCAGGGATGAGTGCTGCGAGGGACAGCCTGGAGAGAGGCCCTGGGGGCAGGGGCAGCACTTCAGCCAGCTGCTCGGGGCACCTTGACTGGTGGCATCAGAGTGAGCAGGGACCTGAGGAAGGGCGTTCCAGGCGGAGGAATCAGCTGGTGCGAGGACCCTGGAATGGGGCCACACCTGGAGAGTGTAGGAGACAGGAAGGTGGGAGTGTGGCTGGAGCCTGGGGGACAAGGGAGGCGAAGTCAGCAGAGGTGCAGGCGTCAGAAGGTCGGATGGGTAGGGCCCATGGCGTGCAGAGGAGTTGGGGTTTTATTATTAGTGTGATGGGGCCACGGGAGGGCTTGAGCAGAGAGATGTGGCCTAATGGGGAATTGGCGGTGCCCCTGGCTGCTGCAGAGGCAGGAGGGAAGCCAGTGAGGACCTGGGGCATCAGAGGAGGCAGAGAGAGGTCCACCCTGGGAGCATCGGGGGAACAGTGCCTGCAGGCCTTGCTGCGCCTCTGCTGGGCACATGGTGAGGCCGCACCCAGCTCAGAGGACTGGCCTGTGTCAAGGCTCTTTGGATGTTATTCCTTCTAATCCCCTCGGGGTTGGATGGCCTCACATTACTGACAGGGGCATCAAGCCCAGGGTATTCAGTGACCTGCCCAAGACCACCCAGCGGGGTTGGGAAGGGGCAGGATTTAAATCCACCCCATTTTGAGGGTAGACTCCAGAGAGTTGTGGTCCCAAAGCAGCCCCCACCCCTTGCCAACTGCTGAGAGATTGGGGGTGGGCAACCAGGACAGCCCAAGGTCCAAGAGAGCCCTCCCGCAGAGGCAGAAGCACTTAGCCCAGCCCCCTTCCGTCTGGCTGTTCCTCAGCCTCCTTTGTTATCTGGTGATGGCCACCCCACACTCAGACCAAACGTAATGGCCTGGGAGGCGAGGCACCCCGTCACCAGGAACCCTGGGTGTGGAGGAGGTGGGGGGCATTCTGACCTTTGAAGCCAGGGCAGGGATCCTTTGAACTGGCAACCCTCCCTCCTCTTGTTCAGATGGAGCAGGGCAGGTTATTTGGGCCTGTAAGGAGGAGTGCACTAGGAGGTGGGGAGGAAGCAGAAAGCCCGAGGTACAGGGGTCTCGAGGATTTATTCTGCTGGCTTCAGTGGTCCCATAATGACGGGGGCTTAAGCCTTTGTGGAGGGGCCGGCAACACCGGCCTGTTGATGAATTAGAGGAAGCTGTGTTTCTTCCTCTAACCGAAGCTCTGTTAATAATTAATCATCTGCCCAATTAATAATTACAGGTTTGAGCAGCCCCCATCCCACTCCAACCTCCTCTTTGTTCCTCCTTCCTTCACCCTCCTGGCCCCCACTCCTACCCCCACCCCTCCGGCCATCAATCGCTGCCGGCCTTCCTCTGCAGAGATGGCAAGGCCCCTGTGCCCTTGGGAGTCCATCTGTCCCTGACACACACACACACACACACGGCATCGCGTGTCATCGGTTCTATTCTTTCCACGGGAGCCTCTCAGCAGCCCTCCCAGGCAGTTGCCACCCCGGTCTGACAGAGACACGAGGCATAGGGGCAGAGCGACAGGACATTCATTCACTCATTCTTCCACTGGCTGCTATTGCGCCGTTCTCTGTGCGTCAGCCACCACCACGAGCAAGACAAGCAAACAGGAAATTCCTCTCCAGGCTTAGGGGACAGCGTGGGGGAACTCCTGAGCAGGCTGGGCTGAGGGCAGCCCCCCAGGGAAGGCAAGGGCTAGGGAGAGGGAGGAGTCCCTGGAGGGTGAGGCATTGGAGGCGGGGCATTGTGTGCAAAGTTCCCCAGCGGCAGGAATGCTCGAAGCTCTGGGCTCAGCCTCCGTCCAGGGTATGGTGTGATTTATGTCTTCACCCTCAAGAGGGACATTCTCCACACGGGGGAATGAATGCCTTGCTAAGGGCTTGGAGCCAGCAGTACAATAGCTGTCTGGCCATCTCCTCTGGGCAGAATCCAGCCTCTGCCCCCACTCCCAGGGAGACCCTAACTCCTCCCAAAAGGCTGTGGACTGCTAGGGCCCCTTGCAGGGGAGGCCGAGGGGGTTCAGGCTCCCTGGCCCTCGCCCTGTCCCTATCTGGTACTTTGTCAGAGACTCGGGGCCTGCCATGCAGAGAGGTTATTTCTGAGCTCTTCCGTATGTATTGTGTTCCTTGGTTTCCTGTCTTCATCCCACTGAGAATGTTCGGCAGCCCCTCTGGGAGTCTGGGCGAAGTTCTTGGGGACCCTCCCATCCCAAGAGGGAGCAAGGCGAGGCTCACAAGAGATGGACATGCATTTTGCTGAGTGCTTGGCCCTGACAGGCTCTCCACCTGTAAACCACAGTGCTCCTACCTCCTCGAGCACCTGGCATCTAGGAGTGGCTCTGGGAAGGTGGGGCTGCCTCTCACTGCTGCCTGGTTACGTGTTTTACAAAGGAGGAGACTGAGGCTGGAGAGGTGAGGTGACCTAACTGTGAAGAGGTGGAGCCAGGAAACCAGCCCAGATGGAGGGCGGGGCCGGCACCTGTCGGGACAAGGTCGGCTCCCCCGAGGTCACCTAACTGACACCTGGGCTCAGCCTCTAGGGAGGAAGCTGCTGCTTTACAGCCATGAAAGCCAGGCAGAGTTGGGAGCAGGTGGCTGCAGAGGGGACTAGACACTGTGCCTCGAGGCAGGTACAGGCCAGGTGAGGGCAGGGAGGTGGCAATGGCTGGGAGGGGCCCAGGCAGGGGTCTGGCAGCTGCAGTGCAAGCTGGAGTCTTGGTGGTGTGGGCCACAGGGTAGGGTCAGATGCATGTCACTCACAGGGAGTGCCAGGGCTTGTCACTTTGACTCTCTGAATGTTGATTTTCTCCTCTGAAATACAGTGGGAGGCAGATGTCTACCTGAGGTTAGAAAACAGCTAAGGCACCGAGCACAGCCCGTCAGAGGGCAGCTCTGGGGGAGGCCTCAGATGTGCTGTCCTCTCATTTCCCCCCTCTTAATCCCGTGTGTGCTGCTATCATAGAATACCTGAGACCAGATAGTTTGTAAACAGCAAAACTATCTCACAGATCTGGAGCCTGGGAAATCCAGGGTCCAGGAGCTGGCGTCTGGCGAGTGCCCTCATGCTTTGTCATCCCATGGCAGAAGGGCAGAAGCATCCACCCACGGAGAGGGGCAGGGCTGAGCCCATGATGTTATCAGGAACACGATAACTAGCCCACTCCTACAGTAACAGCACAAATACCCCCATGAGGGGGGAGCCCTCATGGCCTCATCACCTCTTAAAGTCCACAAGTCCACACCTCTCAACACATCTACACTGGGCATTAAATCTCCTACACATGAACATTGGGGGACACATTTTTCAGAATACCCTATACGATTACAGGCTGGCAAGGGGAAGCTGTGGGCACAGGGGCTTGGGCATCCCTGGGTCTGTGGCCAGGCCAGGTTAGCTGGAGGCCAGGGTCAGGCAGACAGCAGCAAACAAACTCCCCAAGGAGGCAGTGCAGGTGACATGGGACCCCTCCCTTGCTTGTCTGCAAGTTCCGGGTGATCGCGGCTACAGGAAAATAATGTGGGTGATTCGCGGCTAGAGGAAAATAATGTGGGTGAGGGGATGGGAGTTCAGGGGAGGAGGACGGGCGGACAGCCTGGATGGAGATGGGCCAGCATGGTGTGGGCAGGGGGCAGATGGATGTGGAGTGCCAGCTCCAGGGTAGATCAGGGGAGGAGTGTGCGGTGTCAGGCAGGAGCCAGGGCCTCTGGAGCCTCTTGGAGCCTGGGCCTCACCTTGGAGGTTTCCTGACGTTTTGGACCTTGCGCCTTCTTCAAGCTGCAGGAGACCCCGACACGGCACACTGTCCAAGGTGGCCTGTTCCTGTTGGAATTGGCAGCCGTGGGAAGGGCTGCCCTGGGTCCCCTTGGCCTTTCTGGAAACTTTGGGCTCTGGGAAA